CTGCACTCAACATACTACATATAGCTGCATGAGTCCTGCATGACCAATACAAAAGTATACATGCAGTTGCAGCAGGTTGCAGCAAGGTGCATAAGTCCTGCATGACCAGTACAAAAGTATACATGCAGGCACAGCCGCTTGCATGAGTGGCTTGTCACTGCCTAGCAACTGCATATTACATCATCAACAAACATTACACAACTTCAGAACACACATCAAGTCCTGACCAATCACAAGCACTCATTCAGTCTGCAGAAAGCCTCACACAGGGCTGCATGCTTCTTACCAGTCACATCCAACCATTCAACATATGTATTCCTCATGTACCTAGTCACACTGCCTCATGTAGTGCCCCCCCTTGGCCCAAAATAGCTCACTCTTGTCTATATAAGGAGGCTCTCCTCCCCCCATTTGTAATTTCCTTTTCCTCAGCAGAGTACTGCACCAGTGTTTCCCCTAAAACATTACCAACCTTCTCAACATTATTATAACACTCTTACATTTTACTTACATATATATCAAAAACACTTTGAAATAACAATCAGTACACACTCTCGGAGGTTTGTCACTCCAATTCTTCCATTCCAAATGGAGGAAAAAACGTTCACATCCTCCATTTGGAATGGAAGAAAGGGTGGAGCTGGATATGCCCAGCTCCACCCAGCTCACCCAGCTCAATATGAGCTAGGTGAGCTGAATGTGAGCTGGCTGATCTGAATGTGAGCTGGGCGAGCTGGATTGGAGCTGGATGAGCTGGATAAACTGTAACCCCCATCCCTAACCCCTGACCCCTGACCCTGACCCTAACCCTAACCCCTAACCCCTAACCCTAAACCCTAAAACTAAACCCTAACCCTAAACCTACACCCTAACTGTAAAACCCTAACCCCTAACCCCTAACCCTAAAACCATAAAACCTAACCCTAAAACCTAACCCTAAAACCTAACCCCTAAACCTAACCCCCTAAAACTAACCCCCTAAACCTAAACCCCTAACCCCCTAAACCTAACCCCTAGCCAGGGTGGGAATTGAGCCCACAACCTCAGCCCAAGGGCTGAGGTTGTGGGGGTGCACTTACGCCAACAAACTATAATGGCTGGGCTGTGGGAAGTCATACCAATACTAAACCCAAAGTTGCAATCCAGCTCCCTGAGCTGGAAAAAGGAGCTGGGAGAGCTGGGTGGAGCTGGGAACATCCAGCTCCACCCATTTTTCCATTCCAAATGGAAGATGTGAATGTTTTTTCATCCATTTGGAATGGAAGAATTGGAGTGACACAGGTGCACTCTCGACACTCATATATAAATAACCAACCCCTTATTTTAGGAGCCCCTTCATCCAACTTGCACCTGGTTGAAGCCTTGGCCCTTTCAGTACATATTAATTACCTATCAATACCTTACTCAACATACCATCCACAGCTCATACAACAGTTATCTTTTGATAACACTCCACTATCACTATATAAACCTGCCAATCTGAGATTGGTGGGCTTGTTTTAGTGTCTAGTGAACCAGGAAAGGCAGAGGCAACCTCACACATCTCTTTCCGCACTCAGCAAAAGGTTCTCAGGAATACTTTTGAGCTTAACAACGGCAAATACTGTACAGTCTCACAGCCAGGAGAGGTTCCTCCCTGCCTTGAGACCATACATGGCTCAAGGCCAAGAGGAATCCCTCTTGGCCTTGAGACCTTGTACAGTCTCAAGGCTGAGAGGAATCCCTCTAGGACTTGAGACCTTGTACAGTTTCAAGGCCAAGAGGGACTCCCTCTTGGCCTGTTCTTGTACTAATCTCTAGGTTGACAAGGTACATGTTGTGACGGAAGGGAAGACTCAGATGGACGAGGATGTAC